TCCCCCCAAAAGCCCCCGGGTGAATCAGCCGTGGCCTCCCTTTGGGTAGAAAATCCCAAGGTTGCTCCAGCGTGGGGGAGGCGAAGGGGGCGGGAGGCGGGCCTCCTCCCCTGTCTAGGAGCCTCTCCAGGTCTTGAAAGACCCAGTAGTCCCCGGCACCTGCCCTGGAGAGAGGAGGGGAGCCTAGACCCACGGGGGCTTCCCTGGGTCTGGTTGCCCCTCTTCCTGCAGAGGCTGCAGGCAACCAAAGGCCGGTGCCGATCAGGCGCCCCTCCCGCATCGGGGGCGTGGCCAGTGCGTCATTTCCAGTCCCGCCCCCTCCGGCCCCGCCTCCCCCTGGTATTTTCGGGACTTTCCTAAGCTGTTCTAACTTTCCTGCCCCTTACCCGTCCTAGCCCAGCCCAGCTCCCGATTCGCCCTCCACCGGATCTCCCCCGCCACACCCGGACGGGTGGCTGGAGGAGATCCGACCCTCCCCCTAATCTGGGACCCCCTCTCCCCGAACTCGGGTCCCGATCTGTCTCTCACTCCCCCCGCCACTCCTCCTAACCTAAGGCGGGCGCCTGAAACTCTGGGGAACAGAATCCGGCCGGAGCCACCAGACAGAACCGGGCCTAGCCCAGAGACATGGAGAGCTGCTACGACCCAGTGAGTCACTCCGCCCGGCCCCAAAGCCGGCCGGCTGCCCCCCTTTGTCTATCGGTCGGCCTGTGTTCCTTCTGCTTCCTTACACCTGTAATGCCTCAGATTATTTCAGCCTGCCTGTTAGCCTGTCTGCAAACTGCTTCCAATGGGAGCTCTTTTATGGACATGAGGAGAGGGAGTGATTACTGAGGGTTTAGAGAGCTGGGAGGTGGAGGGCCCTGGGGTGGCTCAGGATCAGCTGCCACCCCAGTCTGTCTTCAAACCAGGGTCTGGATGGCATCATTGAATATGATGATTTCAAGTTCAACCCTTCCATTATGGAGCCCAAGGAGCCTGCCCCAGAGACAGGTAAGTCTTTTAACCTCCCCTTGTCTTAGCAGTGGTTCTCAACCTTCTGGCCCTTTAAATACAGTTCCTCATGTTGTGACCCAACCATAAAATTATTTTCGTTGCTACTTCATAACTGTAATGTTGCTACTGTAATGAATCGTAATGTAAATGTCTGATATGCAGGATGGTCTTAGGCGACCCCTGTGAAAGGGTCGTTCGACCACCAAGGGGGTCGCGACCCACAGGTTGAGAACCTCTGTCTTAGAGGGAGGGAGGGGGAGGGAGGAGCCCCTTCTGCCTTGGGGATGAGCTCAGAGATCCTGGATCAGCAAGGCCCCTCTGTCCCCAGCTGATGGCCCCTACCTGGTGATCGTGGAACAGCCTAAGCAGGTAAGTGAATGGAAGGGATGGTAGGGGATGGCTTCAGCTTTGGGGGCAAATGGGGTAGTTGTAGCTGGGTGGTCTTGGGGAGGGTCACTGACCACAAAAGCCACTTAGGCTTGGGATGGTTGGCTGCTGCTGATCACAGTGGTGTGGTTGTGATTCCGGCAGACACTACCAGTCATTATGGTCACTGCTGGCAGGGAGTATGTCTGGCTGGGGGGGGTGGGGGGGGCGGCAGGGGTCCTCCCTGGTCACAATGTCACTCTATCCTGGGACCTTCAGCGAGGCTTCCGATTTCGATATGGCTGTGAAGGCCCCTCCCATGGAGGGCTGCCAGGTGCCTCCAGTGAGAAGGGCCGGAAGACTTATCCCACTGTCAAGGTGAGCAAGGATGGTGCTTGAGGGTGGGCTAGTGGACAGTGTATCCAGGGGTATTGCTGACAGCCCTCAACCCTCACAGATCTGTAACTACGAGGGACCAGCCAAGATTGAGGTGGACCTGGTTACACACAGTGACCCGCCTCGTGCCCATGCCCACAGCCTGGTGGGCAAGCAATGCTCGGAACTGGGGGTCTGCGCTGTGTCTGTGGGGCCCAAGGACATGACTGCCCAGTAGGTGTCCCCTACCCCTGGCCCCCACTGGCATGCCCCCTCGTTACCTGCCCGTCCTAGGCCCCAGCCCATCTCTAGGGAGAGACTTAGGTTGGCTCCAGAACCCAAGGCCACAAGTAAAAACCAGAAAAGCTCCCTAGAGGAAGTAGGGCTAGGCTGAGCCCTGGCAGTGGGGTGGGTGGCTCAGGAGGAAAGAACTACCTGCAATACCTCTGACTCTCCTTCCCCGACTCAGATTTAACAACCTGGGTGTCCTGCATGTGACCAAGAAGAACATGATGGAGATTATGATACAAAAACTTCAGAGGCAGAGACTCCGCTCCAGGCCGCAGGGCCTTACGGGTATGGTGGGCGGGAGTCCTGGGAGGGGGTCATGAAAGGAGTAGAGAAAGGGGAGGAGTCCAGAGGTCACATTGTGCCCACTGTGCAGAGGCCGAGCGGCGGGAGCTGGAGCAGGAGGCCAAGGAGCTGAAGAAGGTGATGGATCTGAGCATTGTGCGACTGCGCTTCTCCGCCTTCCTGCGAGCCAGCGATGGCTCCTTCTCATTGCCCCTAAAGCCTGTCATCTCCCAGCCCATCCACGACAGTAGTGAGTATCTTGACTACCTGGGGTGCAAGACCTGGTGTCAGAGAGAGCCATGAGGCATCCTCAAGCTGTGGAGTCAGACAGGCCTGGGTCTGAACTTGGCCCTGCCACGTATGACTAAATGATCTTGAGCAAGTCATTCCCCCTCTGAGTATGGTTTCTGTCTTGGGTAAATGCAGATACAAGTGGTTCCTCTTGGGGTTGTGCAGATAACGATGCAAAGCACTTGGCTCCACAAATGGGGCCGTAACTTTTACATCTTCTCAAGTAATTGATATCCCACCCCCATAGAGTCTCCTGGGGCCTCAAATCTGAAGATTTCTCGAATGGACAAGACAGCTGGCTCCGTGCGGGGTGGAGATGAGGTTTATCTGCTTTGTGACAAGGTGCAGAAAGGTGAGGCTGGAGCCCATGCTGGGAGCTAAGGATGCTGGGTGTCAAGATTGGGGGCAAGGGCAACTTCAGGAAAAATGGCCTTGAAGGTTCCAGTAGGAGCTGTGGCCAAGCTTCCATCTTCCCTGTAGATGACATTGAGGTCCGGTTCTACGAAGATGATGAGAATGGATGGCAGGCCTTTGGGGACTTCTCTCCCACAGATGTTCATAAACAGGTACCCTAGGGACCCCTGGCCAGGGTGGGGGCCCATCTAGGCCAAGGCCTCAATGACACTGTCTGTCTTCCTTTGGCCCAGTATGCCATTGTGTTCCGGACGCCTCCCTATCACAAGATGAAGATTGAGCGACCGGTAACTGTGTTCCTGCAACTGAAACGCAAGCGTGGGGGAGATGTCTCTGACTCCAAACAGTTCACCTATTACCCTCTGGTGGAAGGTGAAGCAGGGCTGGAGATCCCAAGGGGGCTGGAGGGCTGGGACTGGGCTGGGAAGTCCCAAGAACTAGATCAGGGTGCCTGTGAGTCAAGTTAGGAGTGGGGAAGGCCCCAGAAAGAGGTGGTCCTAAGAGGGCTTTGGCGGGAAGGGTCTTTACCAACCTTGGGAGGAGGCTCCTGAGTGGCCCATGAGTTGGGGTTCTAACACCACGTTTCCCTCTGCAGACAAGGAGGAGGTGCAGCGGAAGCGGAGGAAAGCCCTGCCCACCTTCTCCCAGCCTTTTGGGGGTGGCTCCCACATGGGTGGAGGCTCTGGGGGCTCGGCAGGGGGTTATGGAGGAGCTGGAGGAGGTGAGGGGTGCTGGTGGCATGAAGGGCGGTGGAGGGGCAAGGGGTAAAGGGGAGAGAAGTTGTGTGGGAGGTAATCTGGGAGCGTTCAGGCTGGTGCCTCCTCTCCACAGACTGCTTGTCTTCACAGGTGGCAGCCTCGGCTTTTTCTCTTCCTCCTTGGCCTACAGTCCCTACCAGTCCGGTGCAGCCCCAATGGGCTGCTACCCGGGAGGCGGGGGCGGGGCGCAGATGGCCGATGCGGCACCTAGCGGGGATGCTCGGGAGGGAGCAGCAGAACCGAGCGCGCCCCTTGAGGACCCCCACCGCAAACCGCAAGCTCAGGAGCTGCTGCAGCGAGGTACAGCCCCCGGAATTCGGGGGGTCGGAGCGCTGGGGGTGGGGGACCTAGCCCGCGCCCACGCCCCCTGTCGCCCT